AGGGCTTATTTTCAGGTTAGGTCTTATTTTCGGGGAAACAGGGTAGAGGCCAATTCTGGTAACAAAGAAGTTACCAGACCTGGCCCCTACCCTGTTTCCCTGAAAATAAGACCTAACCTGAAAATAAGCCCTAGTAGGATATTTCAGGATGAAAAATTATATTTTTTCAGGATATAATATATAATATAAACATATATTAACAAAGACGTTACCAGACCTCACCTCTAGAAGGAGCCAGAGACCATGCTACACATAGCATCTGCTAGAAAAACGGATTTCCATTATGTCATTACCTGAATTGGTCACTAGATGGAACCAGAGACCATTCTATGTATAGTCTTGGCTATTAAAATACCATTCCACATTTTTCAGCATCTGCAAGGGGAGGGCTTAGAACCAATCCGCATACAGGAATCCTGAAAACCATGGATGATAATACTGTCAGAAGCAGAGAGCCACAGAGTGACAATGATCCTCCAGACTCAGAGGCAGTCTACCTCTGAGATTCCAGCTGATGAGGGACGCAGTGAGAAGGAAGGAATAGACATGGGGACGAATATAAAAACAAATTGGAGATTCGTTGAATATCCCTGATTCATCAGATATTCATTGCTTCGTATTCTTGGGGTCCTTATTAAAAAAAACACGAACAAGATTAAATTCTCATGTTCACCTCGTGGCAGAGATAGTCTGTTGTCTAAATGGAGCATGTGAGGGGTTCACTTTCCCCGGGGGGGGGGGTTTGATAAGATAAGGAACCCCTCCCACACACAGCCATTGATGCTTAGAGGGTGATCCACTGATTGCCTTTGTGCCAGGCTAGTAGCCTTCAAAAAACTGGCCTCCCTGAGAAACAGGATACTGGGTTTGGCAAATGTTTGGCATCAGCGATCAAGGGTGTTTCCCTCTTGTGGGGTACTCAATAGCAGAGGCAGATAACCTCAGTGGAATCAAGGGCCATTTTTCAGATTTGTCAGCAGCCTGAGGAAAACCCCCCCCCACTCCAAAGTGGGCAGGCTCAAGGTGCAAGGGTATGGCCAAAGTGACTATTTGGCTTATTTAAATTTTCATTAAAATTTGCATGCTGCAGTCTGAATTTTAAATTCACTGAATATTTTTATACTGTAAAAATTGCTCCATTGGAATTTTGTGAAATGAAAAAAAATGGACTGCCCTAAAAAAGGGGGGGGGGAGAGAGAGTTTTAATGGAAAAAGTCAATTTGTGCGTTTATAGTATACAATAGTATGTTATGCCATATAGCTAGTACCTTTATAACAGAGCATCACATAGACTATAGTCTTTTTGTAGAACAGGGTCTTCTAGTATATATCTGCGAAGATTCTCAGTCATCCAGGTGAGGTTATCTGATCCACTATGTTGACATTATGCAAAATCATATACTGTATTTCCAAGTTTTTGAAGTGCACTGGATACTTCAGCAATCTCTAGAATGATATAATTTATTTGCTTACTCTTTTTTTAAAAAAATGCAGTTTTCACAAATGGAGAAAATCAACACTTAGATAAGGGCCAGAAACCTTTTTGCTGTTCCCATGAAGTTTGTGTAACTGGTGGCGCCTCCTTGCCACTAATTGATGAGTGGCCAGCCTGCTTCTCAGTTGTGCTGCTGGGCAGATCTCTAGTCCTGTGGCTGAGAGGGCTTAACAGCACCTGGTCAATTAGCCACAGTTAGCCCAGGGAAGTTATGCACAAACACTACTAGTTCTCTGGTGATTGAAAAGCAACAGAATCAAATTACATTTTTACATCTACCAGATGCCTGGAGTGATGTACAACAAAAAATGCTACAATTTCACATGATGTCAAGAAACATAGGATTTAACATCCGAAAGCAGCATTAAAACTAAACAGTAACAGAACATGAAACATTAAAAGCCCAGCAGAGTAGTCTTTACTGCCCATCTAAAGCAAAGCAAGGAAGAAGCCAATCTTGCCTCCCAAGAGGGAATTCCGTAACTGGGAGGCTTCTTCTAAAAATACCTGGTCTTGAATAGACTCCAGACCAGCTTCTGTAGGTGACAGGGGAGATAACAAGGCCTCCTGTTCTTGTAAATGAAGACAGAAGAAAACGTATGAGTCTGATCACACATGAAAGGCTGTCTTTTGTATAGTGGTTTCCAACCTTGGGTCCCCAGAGGTTTTTGGTCTGCAAGAATAATCCTAGAAATCTTGGCCAGCACAGCTAGTGGCGAAGGCTTCTGGGAGTTGCAGTCCAAGAACCTCTGAGGATTTCACCCTTCCGTGCACTGGGGAATCATTCCAGCCAGCCCACTCCCAAAAAGTCCAAAATGGATACAGATCAGGATCGGGACGGAATGCTATCCCCTGTTCATTGGGTGATCACTGGGAAATAACTTGCACCATAATAAAGGTAAAGGTTCCCCTTGACATTTAATCCAGTCATGTCTGACTCTAGGGGGCAGTGTTCATTCCCATTTCCAAGCCGTAGAGCCAGCGTTTGTCCATAGAGAGTTTCTGTGGTCACGTGGCCAGCGCGGCTAGACACGGAATGCCGTTACCTTCCCACCTTGGTGGTACCTATTTATCTACTCGCATTTTGCATTTTTCATGCTTTTGAACCGCTAGGTTGGCAGGAGCTGGGACAAGCGACGGGAGCTCCCTCTGTTGCGTGGATTCAATCTTACGACAGCTGTTTTTCTGACCTTGCAGCACAGAGGCTTCTGCAGTTTAACCTGCAGCGCCACCACGTCCCACAACTTGCACCATACCATGCCACAAATGTGCCTGTGTAATCACATCCTTAAGATTACTTTAAACATTGGTTAAAGAGTAACCCTGGAATTCTGAAAAGACTTCAGTAATCTTTACAATGTCAGCTCCATGCTCTAATTTCAAAACCCTGTGCGTTTATGCTCGTGCGCGCATGCGATCCCACCTGCAGAACATTGGTGTGATGAATCCCACCTTGGAGGTAGGTGCAGGGTTAAAGAATGATGTTCCTTGCCTGCTGCTATTTCTCTGCTTCACTCCTGGCCAGGTGGTGGTGTATTGTCCCTTTACTGGCATAGAACAGACCTTCCCTTGTGGGAAGTGGCTGGACGAGGATGACGGGGATGGGCTTGTGGAACGGGAGCTTTACGAAATGCTCTCGCTTCGTCAGAAGAGGCTGAAAAGTAAGTGCATAAGAAAACAACCTTTGAATGATATCTTCCAAACTCTGATCAATGAATGCTTCTGCCTTTGGGCTGCTCTTTGCTTGTTGAACAGGATGCTGTTCCAGCCATTTCACAGGAGAAGACCTTGATTTTAGCATTTGCTTCCGTATTATGTTAAGCTTAGGACCGGAAGCATTCGGACCCCTTTCTGTTGTCAGTAGTGATGTGGTGGGAGTACATGTGATGTCATCTCCCCCCTTTTCTTACAGCCACTTTACTCTCTGTTCTTCTCTACCACTCCATTCTCTTTCTTTCTCCATCTACAGTGGTGCCTCGCAAGACGAGGTTAATGCGTTCCGCAAAAATCACTGTCAAACGATTTCGTCGTTAAGCGAAACGCGATTTTCCATTGAAATGCATTGAAACCCTGATAATCCGTTCCACTGGGAACGGATTGTCATCATAAAGCGAAAATCGCCATAGGAAACATAGTTAAGCGAAACGCGTTTCCCAAGCAAACACAGCCGTCTAACGAAACAGCAACCATTCAAATGCCCGTTTAGCGAAGCGAACCCGAACTGTCAAAACCATCGTAAAGCGAAAAACAGGGACCCGAAAATTAACTGTCTTGTGAGGCAAGGTCCCCACCATTGTAGAGCGAAAATCGCCCATAGGAAATATCAATAAATGGAGCGCAAGATCACTCTGGAAAACTAATCATTAAGCGAATTCATCATTAAATGAAGCAATTGTCTAGCGAGGCACCACTGTACTAACCTAGTGGTTCCCAACCTTGGGTCCCCAGATGTTCCTGGACTACAGCTCCCAGAAATCTTTGCTGGCGCAGCTAGTGGTGAAGGCTTCTGGGAGTTTTAGTCCAAGAACATCTGGGGACCCAAGGTTGGGAATCACTGTTAACCTATTTAGTTCCCTGCCAAAGAAGTAAATCCAGACCTTGGAAATATTACACAGGGGGAGGTATAGATAAGGCTCTCCCAACGATGACCCCACAGCTGATACACAGAGCAAGAGAGAGAGAGAGAATCCTTAAGTGAAGGGAAATAAACAGAAGGGAAGTGCAAGGGATCAACTGGAGTCTCCAGTAACATCCTGTTGACCCATTAAACTAATCTGTGTCAATGGGCAGAAAAGCAAGAATGGTTGATTTTAGTACCCCTCAGATTAAAGAGGGCTATAGGATTAGGGCTACGAGCAGAGCTTGGAAAGTTTCTTGTTTGAGGCTAGAATCCTGTCAGTATTTATCCCGAGTGGAGCGACATCCTTAGCATCGTTAGCCCTTTTTCATATGGGCCTCACATTTGTTTGGGTTCACCTGTCTTCCAAAAGCTCAATGCTGTTTTGTTGTTAGCGTGAGCAGAACACCACCCACAGAGCTCCCGAGGTCGGCGCGTCTCAGCCACTGAGAAAGGAGTCTCTGATGGGATGCAGAAGGAGGCCACGTGGGACTTGGAATTTCCTTAAACGTGGCTAGAGATTCAATCTCATTTTGGCCCGCCCATGTCCTCATGCAAGTGTGTTGTGCCTTCTCTACTGACCCATCTGCCATGATTTAGCTACCTGTGATCTTTGGACCGGTTACTTTAGACAGAACTTCTGGGTAGGTCAGTGGTTTAGGGATCTGGCTCAGTGCCCAGAGTTTGGGGGTTCAGTTCCCCACTGGGCCTCCATGACAGGGTTGCTCTCGATGATCCATAGGGCATAGCTCTACTGTTTAAAGAGGATGATGATTTCCAGGAGCATGGGCCTATTATTCCTTTGTAGCAAAAGCGGCAAAGCCTCTTCAGTTACTTAAAGTATTAAGTAACTAGCAAATGTTATGGGCATGTGCTTTTATGGACGTGGATCTTGCCTCTGAAGACATGGACAGCAGTCCACAAAAGCTTATGCTGGTCTCTAAGGTACCACAAGTTTCCTTCCTCCTTGTGGGATATTCAGCGTTTCTCCTAATCCTCTGCTCCCTCAGCCTACCAGTGTACAATAAATAAGAAACAACAGATACTCTGAAGAGCTATATATGATCTTCCCTGAAAAAGAGGGTGAATCGTTGTTGTTTTTCTCATGCTGGCGCTCTGCAGTTTTTTGACAGCAAGAGAGGTGGGACAGAGGATGCCAAAGGTTATGCGAATCAATGCCCTCTGCATTCAGTAAGAGGCTCCAACTGCATCCGGCATCTCTACACAGCATGTCCATCATCCTCAAGAATAATAGGGGCTCAAAAACAAAAGAGTTCGGTGGGGTTCATCATGGGAGGGAGGGATGTATCTTGACCGTCCTTTCCCTGATCCCATTAGTGCAATGAATGGTTTTCAGATGGGTGAAGGCGGCGCATAATCAAGACGCCTCTCTGATGAACAGTTTGTGCTGCTTAAGAAGCAATCCCGCTGAAGCCCAGCTCGTTACAGCAAACATTCCTTAATGTTCCAGCCGGTTTATCTTTCCGGTGCCATCCGTGCGACCAAAGCATTTATGACCTTTAAGCAGCCACATTATCAACCCTAATTGCTATTGACACAGAGTTCCTTTGTGGTGGCTGTGTCTTGAATGGGCAGGAAATGGTGGCCTTGAGTAATTGGTGACCTTTAACGGCCATACAAGGAGGATAACTTGTCCTGTCATCTCCACCCCTTGCCTGCCGGAAGAGACGCACTCATCGTCTCTTGAACTGCAGAACTGGAAGGGACCCTCTGGATCATCAAGTCCAGCCCCTCGTCAAGAAGACCCAGTAGGGGAATCGAACTCCCAACTTCTGACTCTGCAGCCAGAGACCTAAATCGGTCCAATCTCCAGCAATTTGCGCCTTATTGTCCTTTGCCAAGACCTGTGTCTGGATTCCACTGGGGAGGGGGCTCCCTGGGAGGGGGGCTCAGGAGCCTTCCACAGTTGCCTTTACACAGTTGGTAAGAACACAAGAAGAACCTCTTGTGTCAGACTAAAGCCTTGTCTAGTCCAACACTCACATCTCATGGTGGCCAGTCGGTAGCCTTTTGGAAGCTTGGCAGCAGGACACGAAGGCCACAGCATCCCCATCCCTCACCCATCTTGTCTCCCTCAGCAGCTAGGGTGGCCAGATCAGCCGTGTCACAGTCTCTGAGACTTCAGGGTCAAAGCACGAAACTTGGGGTGGGTGGCCTTGAATGTGATGTCACAGGGGCAGGGCAGGTGTCGGCTGCGAGAAGAGAGAGCACACCGTTGGCAGAGCCCTGGGGCCAGTTGGAATGGGCAGAGATGGAGAGCCCAGGCTTTGATGCTACTGCACGCAACATCTCTCCCCCCCCCCACAACTTTGTCTTTCTCTTTTGACATCCTGACCATTGTCTCTGTGTCTGGAGACCCGGAGAAGCATCGCAATGCTCTGAGGCTTTGGCTAGTGTCTTGAGAACTGACAAATCTACCAGTACATGATACAGGGATGCTTCTGGTTTGGGGGCTGATCTAGAGCTATCTTGATTTGTAACCATTAAAACTCCAAACTTTTGTTGGTTTGCCCTGTCCCCCTTTTAAAGCTATCTGTGCTGGTTGTCAACACGACACTTCGGGCAGTGAATTCCACAGTTTAACTGGTGTTGTGTGAAGAAGTATTTCCATTTATCTGTCCTGGATGCCTCCCCATCCAGAATTCACCTTTTCCTGTGCTTGAATGTCCATCTCTCTGCTCCAAACTAATTCAAATGTCATTTCCCCCCAGCCTTTGAGTTGCTCCGTAAGGTCTCTGTTGAGCCACCTTATTTGCCTTTTTTGGTGGTAAGACGGGGTACAAATTAGAACTTGGGGAAATACCGTATTTTTCCATGTATAAGACCATACTTTTGTCTAAAGTCTTTAGACTAAAAATTGAGGGTCGTCTTATACACGGAAGTAAGCTGAGGAAAGAACAAAAATAAGTGGAGGGGAAAGCAGGGATCAAAGCGATCCTGCAGGGCTTTGATCCCTTTCCCCCTACACTTGCTAAGCCCCACTTAGATTTCTTAATTTTGGGTTAGTAAAGTGGGGGCGTCTTATACACAGAAAAATATGGGTAGTTCTTTTGAAGTGCTCATTCCTTGTGGCCTTGTCGGCTGGACAATTCCTGCACGTGTTGTTGCACAAATTAAACTTTTCAAAGTTGTCTGCAAATAAATAAATAAACAGTGGACATGGTTGCACCCTTGCCCTTTTCTCCAGCGATCACAGGATGATTATATCCTGGCTGACCCCATTTTCTTTCCACAATAACTATATGAGATTGGACAGACTGAGCTCTCGTGCTGACTGAGATAGTAAAAGCCTCTATCTGGGCTCTATCATTTCCTTTTGAAAGAGCCATCCCTCAAGGAGGTAAGAGGGATGGCTTGCAGACAAAGGGCCTTCTTGGCAGCTGCCCCCAGACTATGGAATGCCCTCCCGACTGAGATTCGCCTGGCGCCGACACTGATGATATTTCGGCGCCAGGTCAAAACCTTCCTGTTCCAGAAGGCTTTTAATTGAAATAACATTAACCTACATTTCCCAGAAACCCCAATTAGGACTCTAAGAACTGATAAATAAGGGAGCCTAGGAGTAATAATCCAAAAAATATAATTTTTCCAACTGTGGGAGGAACATTGCATATCTGCAGCATGAAGTGGTTGAACCATGGTGAATCTTGCACCTAAGAGAACTTTGAGAGAACAGAGAGATCTGAGTACAGTTTTCCATGAACCAAAGTGCGAACAAAAGCTAGGAAATGCTTGTGTTTCTTTTTACAAAATCTGTATATCCCTGCAAGATTGTGGGATTTGTAGTATAAAAACCCAAACGTTTGCCCTTCTTGTTATTACTATACTATCGACTTCACCAGACTGATTGGTTAGAAAGGATGGATTACTTTGTCTTCGATGGGTTTCGGGCTGGGTTGGAAATCCGATGGAGCCATCACAGGCCGATCCTGGCTGTGCATCTGTGCTGGGATGACTGTAATGCTACAATCAAGATTACAATTTTATCAGTTTTACGACTCAACGCATCTCTAAGCTCTCCAAGTATTTACCTGTTGAAAACCTGCAGATTGTATAGCAGAAAAAAGATAACCATTCTGTTAATATCAGATTTATTGAGCTACCTTTGGTTTCTTCTGTGTTACTGTTTCACAATCATTCATTTTTTGTTCTCCGTGATTGACTTTGTCTTTATTTATTTTTTTTAATGTAGAAAATCCATGGTCGCTATGGATCTGGACCAGTGACCTTAAGGGTGCAGGCACAGATGCTGCCATCTTCCTCCAGGTTTATGGTGACAAAGGAAAGTCCGATGAAATGAAACTGGACAACAACTCTGATAATTTTGAAGCTGGGCAAATTGACAAGTTCATGGTACGGCTTCTCTAGGTTGTCCGTATGCTCCGTGTGCAGCGATTGGTTCATAGTCACTTGCTTTACTACAACTTCCAGAAATAATACTTCTGAGTTCTGGCTAGACTCGTTTGTGGGTCTTTTCTAGGGAATGAGTTCTCTTCCCTTATGGCTGATGCTGATGAGACGTCACAGAATAGTCTTCTCGTTCATGTCAGAGGCCAGGATTATACTGAGGGAACATATGCATGCAACAGTAATTGCGTTCTAGGGAGTGAGTTCTTTTCCCTTATAGCTGATGAGACATCACAGAATAGTCTTCTCGTTAATGTCAGAGGCCAGGATTATACGGAGGGAACATATGCATGCAACAGTAATTGCACAGGCGGTTTCTCCCATGGGTACGCGGCCTGTTGCGTGATTTGTCATGTACTTGCAAAATCTGTTGTGCAACTGGCTGTGTCAAGGTCAGCCCAACACAGCGTGTGCAAGGGCGAGTATCTTCATGTTCTTCCCCAGCGGGATGCTAGTTAAACAATTTAATAACTGTCATAAGAGGTGGGAAGCAGCAAATCTATTTCAAAGATAAGTTTAGATCTAACACTCGGCATGGACGACAGAAGTCAGCGACACGGATGCAGCGTTCCCCAATCTGCTGTCCTCAGGGTGTTTTGGACTATAGCCAACACGACTAACGGAGGCTCTAGAGTAGTGCTTATTATTATTATTATTATTTATTTGATTTATACCCCGCCTATCTGGCCCACCGGACCACTCTAGGCAGCTTCCCAACCATGGGTCCCTGGAGGTTCTTGGACAGCAACTCCCAGAAGCCTTCACCACTAGATGAGCTGGCCTGGATTTCTGTGAGTTGTAGCCCAAGAACATATACATGCAGCACATTTTCTGCTCTGACTTTTCCTCCCTTCCAGATATCCTCTTCCACATCGACCATGGGTCCCCGGAGGTTCTTGGACAGCAACTCTCAGAAGCCTTCACCACTAGATGAGCTGGCCTGGATTTCTGTGAGTTGTAGCCCAAGGACATATATATGCAGCACATTTTCTGCTCTGACTTTTCCTCCCTTCCAGATATCCTCTTCCACATCCTGGCTGCTGCTCCAGTCAGCCATGGAAGGATTAAGATTTCTTCCTCCTGCCTTCTCTTCTCCAGGACGCTAAGCACTCTTTCATGAGTAATGGAGGGCCAAACTACATACGAGAGATAGCTCATTATTAGAAGATGAAATTTCTTGACCGTTGAACAGTTCTGATGATTGTGTAAAGAGCTTTTTGCATGGCCTATAGTTTGCAAGTTAGTTTACTTTCTTTTGTGATCTGAGTATAAGCAAGGGCTACATGTGCCAGTATTCATGCTCAGTTACAGAAGGCTGCCAGAATCATGTCTGTGAAACACGAAGGAATTTCACTTTCTAATGATGGGCTATCTATGACCTATTGCTCAGTGTTTTGGGAACGGTATTTTCGGGAAAGGTGCTTGCCTCGAGATACCAGTTTGGCCTCTACCTCTTACTCACAGGTTGCCTAGGATCTCGGGAGGTGAGGGGTTTACTCTAAAACAGCAGAGAGAAATGTCTTACCAATGGGCTACGAATCACATCTGTGCTTGCTACATTCCAAAATCAGCTGGCTAAACAGTTTCCCAGTGTGGTGCAGAGGACAGAGTGATGGACTATGATTCTAGAGAACAGGGTTCAAATCCCTGCTCAGCCATGGAAACTCACTGAGGGTGTGAAAATGGTAAAAACCACTCCTTAAATATCTCACTGACCTTGAAAGCCCTATTAGGGTTGCTATAAGTCGGTTCTGACTTGACAGCGCAAAACACATACACACAGACAGGGGGCTGGTTACTTACTGAACACCAGGTCCCACACTGCTTTGCAAAATGTGAAGCATTCACAAGACCTCATGTAATGTGATTTCAACTAGGTGTTTAACAACTCCTAAACTTTAAGAATGGCCACAGTTTACAGAACAAATGACAACTTCTCTTGGCACCTTAAAGATGACAAAGTTTTCTTTGGCATAAGCTGTCGTAGACTTGGGTCCACTTCCTCTGAGGCAATAGACAAATGTGGCTAGCTGCCTGGAAATGTCTGTAGAGAGACATCCTTATTATTTATTTACTGCCGAGATTTTAGCATACCTCCTTCTCTCCCAGTTTTACAGTCCCATAATGAAGAAGAACAGGGGCTTCACTTGCTTCTGGCTAGTTTGAGCCACATAAGTCAGTGCCCCATGTTCTGCCTGCCCTTGTAATGTGAGCTTTTCAATGCCATGCTCAGCCACCTCAAGATTCCTCTAGTTTAACATATAATTTTGGGATCAATGCACATCCGATCAAACCACCTCCAGGGAAAGTTTCTGTTTCTTACAAGGATTTCTCAATGGTTTAAGATTTGTTTAGCTTTCAGCCTTCTTGGTAAAGCACCGATAGGTTCTGGGGAACATATCTTGTTTCCTCGATTTAGGCGGCAGAACCTGTAAGATTATATTTGGCTTTTATGCTACTGCAGTGGTCATGCTGCTGAGCTTGTGGGTATGAAACAGCTCTGGACATTCATACTTAGGGACAAGTAGAGATCATAGAATCATAAAATAATGGAGTCGGAAGGGGCCCATAAGGCCATGGAGTCCAACCCCCCTGCTCAAGGCAGGAATCCAAATCGAAGCAGATCTGACAGATGGTTGTCCAATTTTCTCTTGATCGCCTCCAGTGTTGGAGTGCTCACCATCTCCCGAGGTAACTTGTTCCACTCTCATACTGCTCTGGCAGTTGAGATCTTTTTCCTGATATCTGGCTTCCTATAACTTGAGCCCATTTTTAGGTGTCCTGCCCTCCGGCATGATCAAGAACAGACCCTCCCCCTTCTTTGTATGACTATACAGTATTTCAAGTCTTTGATTAGTGTTATCCTATCATCTCTCAGTCTCTTTTTCTTAAGCTTAAACATGCCCAGGTCTTTCAGTCTTCCCTCACAGGGCTTGGTTTACAAGTCCCCAGATCATCCTTATTGCCTTCCTCTGAACTTTTTCACGGCCACATTGCATTGTTGGCTCATATTCAGCTTGTGATCTACAATTCCAAGATCCTTATCACTCATACTGTAGCATTACTGAGCTAAGTATGCCCCATCTTGTAACTGTCATTCGGGTTTTTCCCCCCTTAGGTGTAGAACTTTATCCTTGTTAAATTTCATTCTGTTGTTTTCAGCCCAGTGTTCAAGCCCATCCAAGTCTTTTTTGAATTTTTTTCTTCTTCCAAGCTATTAGCTAAACTTACATTTATTGCTACAGGAAGCAGTGCCGAGATAGTGCAGGAGAAAGAACTTTAAGTATGCTTACAGAAGCCCTTAATATTGGCTTCCATGCTGACAGGCCTCATGGAGGAGACCCGATTTTTATTTTAAAAAAGAGAACAAGAATTACCCTGACTTCCCAGAAGAAGGAAAAGCAAGCCTGAGTGTAGCAGTTTGCATATCAAGAAGCAGTGGCTTAGAAAAGACAAGAGGAAGCCAGTTGACAATTCATCATTATCACTTTGAGTTGAGGTTGTCTGTTCCATGCTTTGGTGCTTTGCCACCCCAAGTGACCAGCTGGGAAGTTCTCTTCCATAAATCTCTTTGGAATGAAGAAGAGCATCTCCACAGCATTCTTGTGTGGTTGCCCTGCCACCCACTTCATGCAGAAACTCGTCTTATGGATCTGTTGCTTCCAATGCTAGGTGCTGTGCAAGAGAACTTCCCAGGAGGCAGTGCCCATGAGCACTGGATGATGATGATGCTATAGATGTGTGTGTATGTTGTTGTTGTTGTTGTTTGGATGATGATGATGATGATGCCATAGATGTGTGTGTGTTGTTGTTGTTTTTAAAAAATCCCTCTTTGCACAGATTGAGCTTCCAGATCTGGGCACTTTGTACAAGATCCGGATATGGCATGAGAAGAGGAGCCCATTTGCCGGTTGGCATCTGAACAAGGTAAGAAGCCGGTGGGATAGATTATGCTTTAGGAACAAGATCCACGGATAATGAGCCAATGTAAGAGTTGCATAAATAAATGACTGCCTATTAGGACTTCTGTTGAGTAGCTTTCTGTGTCCAAAGCGGATGTTGGGATGTGCATGGACTGGTGCGGTTTCCAGGCTTTGTGGAGGGGGAAAGAAGCTTTCTTAAGCCCAGGGACCACTCATGAAGGATAACTTTTCCTGTCCAGTACTCAATGTGGGGAGGGTCTTGGGGTCAACATCCCAACAGCAGAGCAATCCAAAGACAGATGGAGTCAGTGGAGCCAATGAGAAAGACGTGGGTCCAGATACAGCTCTTACCAATGTGGACATTTTATCACCAAACATACAAAACATGGATTCTATGCATACATGTTCTGGAGTAAGAACCAGTGGAACCACTTTCAGGCACATCTCAGCTCCCAGATAGGATACATAAGAGCAGGACATTTAAATTTAATTTCCTTTAAATATTTTCTTTGAAACATCTGGAGGTATCAAGAAAAGAAGTTCAGGGGTCATGTGGGGAATCCCTGCAGGCCTCACTTGGCCTATGTATGGGATGTTCCTCTTACCTACATAATACCTACAGGCTGCCTTTCTCAGGAAGGCCTGGAACACCTGCAGTAGAACCGAAACACCAAAATCTTGTTGCACATTTATGCAAGAGGTGTGACTTTTGGAAGGGAACTGTCATAAGCCAAGAAATCTCTGTAGATCCCTGAGTTGTGCAACGCAGGATGCAACTCATAATATCTATTGAAGTTTCTTAATTTATAGTAATTCACTTCCAATAGTTACTCCATTTGAGAAACTGTGCAATGAAATTTCCACCAGTACGCTGCAGGGAAATTGTTCACAGACACTAGGATCCCTCACAGGACACTAGCCCAGCCCGTGAAACCTCATTCATATTCAGTGCCGGGAAAGGTCACCTTTAGGGGCAATAATTCCCACATCCCACCAGCCAAAAGTCATGCTGGGTGGAGGATTCTGGGAGATGTAGTCCAAAAAAGGAATTTTATGAGGTTCTGTGGAACACCATGCTGTGAATGCTTTATAATGCACACCTTCCCAGCTGCTTCAAGATAGTAGCAAAAGTCAAGCTGTCTTTCAAGAGAGGTTTAGCTGCTCTGGTTCACCCTTCCATAGGCAAATTGTTGGGAAGGCTTAGAAAAATCCATTAATCCCTTTCTGCAAAGAGTTCTGAAAGCCACTCTCTAGAGCCTCAAAATTCTATGCCGAGGAATAGTACACAAAAAGTATTCATGCTAAGCAAACATGCATGTTGTTTGTTTAGTCGTTAAGTCGCATCCAATTCTTTGTGACCCCTTGGACCAGAGCACGCCAGGCCCTCCTGTCTTCCACTGCCTCCCAGAGTTGTGTCAAAGTCATGTTGGTAGCTTCAGTGACACTGTCCAGCCATCTCGGCCTCTGTCGTCCCCTTCTCCTCTTGCCTTCACACTTTCACATCATCAGGATCTTTTCCAGGGAGTCTTCTCTTCTCATGAGATGGCCAAAGTACTGGAGCCTCAGCTTCAGGATCTATCCTTCCAGGGAGCACTCAGGGATGATTTCCTTCAAAATGGATGGGTTTGTTCTCTTTGCAGTCCAGGAGACTCTCAAGAGTCTCCTCCAGTACCACAATTCAAAAGCATCAATTCTTTGGCGGTCAGCTTTCTTTATGGTTCCAGCAGACTCCTCACTAAATGCTTGTTCTTGCACTGGTTGCCGGATTTCTCATTTCACTGTCCATGCAATGGGGATCCTGCTGGAGCAGTGCAGAAACAATGGTGCAATGTGCCCTCAGCTTCACGTTTATGCAACAGGATACCAGCTGCAATGTATATTATTTTTTGAAACATGGGCAAAGTACTTAAACACATCTGCCCACTCCCAGCAGTAGTAAGCCTCAAATGGCCACTTTAAGTGTGCCTTTGCAAATACAAGGACTAGAAACATGGTTTTGTTCAAGTGGAAGCAGAGACTTTAAGAATAACTCACTGTTCTTGTGAGCTGGCTGGATAGCTCAGTCAAGTAGGTCTCTGGCTGCAGAGCCAGAGGTTGGGAATTCAATTGCCCGCTGTGCCTCCTGGGAGAAGATCCAGCCAGTGTGGGCTTGGACAAGCTTCAAAGTCCTAGGGCACCCCCAGAGCCCGCTGTGCCTCCAGGGAGAAGATCCAGCTGGTGTGGGCTTGGGCAAGCTTCAAAGTCCTAGGGCACCCCCAGAAGAAGGGAGCAGTAAACCACATCTAAGCATTTTGTAACCTGGAAAATCTTGAAAAGGGTCACAATAAGTCAGAGTTGACCTGATGACACATGATTATTATTAACAGGGTCACAATAAGTCGGAGTTGACTTGATAGCACATGATTATTATTAACTCTTCTTGCTATCAAATGCAGATGATGCGTAGTGAAATACCATGCTCTGCTATCAAGGGTGGGAAAAATGTGACTTCCCCCCCCAGATGTTGGTGCACTGTAACCCCTAGCATTCACCACCACTGGCTGTGTGGGTTAGGGCTGCTGTGAATTTATTCTTGCTATCAAATGCAGATGATGCATAGTGAAATACCATGCTCTGCTGTCAAGGGTGGGAAAAATGTGACTCCCCCCCCAGATGTTGATGCACTGTAACCCCTAGCATTCACCACCATTGGCTGTGTGGGTTAGGGCTGCTGTGAATTCCAGCATCACAACTTCTGGAGGGCCACTTGGTGCCCACCTTTACTGTCTATAAATTCTGTTCCAGGTAGCCATAGAAGAAGAAATAAGCTTCTTTTGCTATGCAGTCAAATGCAACAGCAGTGACAAATTGCCATTTACCTTTTAAAATAAGGTCGTATGGCTCATAGGTCTCGGCTGTCGGGTTTCTAATGCAGTTTGATAGGTTGGTGCCCTCTTTTGTGCTGCGCAAATATTCAGAGGACCTAGCTGGGGGTTAGTAAACCATGAAGAGATATTTGCTGCTGATTCCACAGATTCAGTCTTGGCTCATTAGTCTTCCCTTGCTGTCGCTTCTGCTTCTGGAGCAAAGGAGATGATGTCCAGTTTCGAAAGAGTCCCTTCTCCTTCGAAAAGGCTTGCTGACCGATCAATGGAAAGCCTTTCACAGCTTTATCCTAAAAGTATTTATTCAGAAATTCTCTTTAAATGCAGTGCAGTACTTTGTGTCTACTCAGATGTAAAGCCCACAAAACTTCCCATAGTTAATCTTCCTCTGTATTTTTTAAAAATTAATTCCTGGCTTTCTTTGTACTGAACGTTGTTCACCTTTCTGTTTTTTTTTCATTTTATCCCATTATATTTTTATTTCCACATCATCTCAAGCACTCCCACAAACAGAGGGGTGATCACGAATATTCAGAATAATAAATTAAAAATATAATCATAGGTGAGTATAGGATTGTAGCCTGGATCAATTTAAAAAGGAGACCTGATTATTTGGATTTAAGACCTTTGACAGTTTAAACCATGTTGTTGTTTGGAATGCTACATCTTAGGAAACCACCACCTTCATTCCTGCACTGAAAGGAATGCATTTCTAAGACAGAACCTATTATGACACGTAGAGACAATGTATGCAACCAAAGGAAATCAGGCCCCACCCGAACGGCGGGTATTAATGTGTATATTTAATAGATTCATTACTTGGTTAATTGCTGAAGTCATGTTAATAATTGATTATCTCTTTAAAGAGGAGATAACCCTAATCCCTTAACCGGATCTGTACAGAGGGCAATAAGCAGAGACATATGGTGGTAAATTAGACTTGTAAAAGATGAATTACACTCTGTTTGAATTCTGTATGGCTTCAGATCATCACAGAGGATGCTGAAGATGTTGCCTTCCTTCTCCCAAATAGCATCTAGGAACATTTTGTCCATGGTTCAGTCTGCTGCAGGGAAGAGCTGGTTCGCTCCTAAAGAGGGCAATCGGATGCCATCTTTGCTGGAGTGAACCAGATCCACCCCCAGATCCATTCTACCTGCATATTCCTGACCCTTCTCAGGATCTCCTGCTTTTTTTTGGTATTTTCATATAGATCACTCTGTTCTCGTTGATTCCCAGCGTGTATGATCACTGGGAACAAATCAAAAGCCTTCCTGTGAGAGAAAGTCAGAGCGAGAAGGAGAGAGTGAGCCGTCCCCTCAGCCGTCTGAGGGAAATCAAGTGGAAAGAAAGGAAGGAAGGAGAGATGAAATAAAAGAAGAAGTAAATGTGGAAAGGGCTATAGGGGAAGAACAGCCAGGAGTGCATGCAGAGGGAGAAGAGGGAAAGCATGTGGGAAGCGGAGAGAGAGAGAGAGAGACGCGCAAGGCGAGGGAGACGTTGGGAGCGTTAGCGTTAATGGATGCGAGAGGAGAACAGTCAACAAGAAGGAAGTCTTCCTGACATCATAGGCATCTGTTAGTCTCGAGAGACTATGGTAACATGCTCAACAGTCAACAAGAAGGAAAAGAGATGTCTTCCTGACATCATAGGCATCCGTCAGTCTCGAGAGACTATGGTAACATGCTCTGAATTGAGGATTTTCCTCTCCAGAGCATGAAGTCTGGGTAAAGTAATCTGGAGGATAGGCTGTTACCCAAGCAGCAGATCCCCCCTCTCCACGTTGCTGAAATGGTCCAGTGGAAAGGCAAGAGCCAATACAACTGGTTCCAGCAACGTCGTAGGAGTTGGCAGAACGACACGAGCTGCCTTCGGGACTCCAGCTCCGGATTTTGCCTCTAGGTTAACTCCTAAAGCCTTTTCCATGAGTGGATAGAGCCAGAAGGCAATGGAGGTTTGAAATTGGAGTTTTCCTTCTCCTAGATGGGACTGCCTTCCATGGCTGACAATGTCTTCCTGACTACCGAGGTTAATGATAAATCAACAGAAACTGAGGAAGTGACAGTATATGAAGAATACTTAAATGAGAAAAGGGTTGAGGATCCGAAAGTATTTGCTATACCGAGAAAATGGTCAGAAGAAGTTAGAGAAAGGAGTGAAGATAGGTCTCATGACAGAGAACAAATCAAAACTATCATTGAAGGTCTGATGCCTGAAAAATGGACAGTGCTTATATATCCCAAGGGTGCAGGACTGGTGAAGTATGTCCATCATCCCGGACCTTTAGCTCCGGGCGAGAAACCTCCTGAGGGAGAATGGTCCCATCACCCATGCGAAGCGGGTGTCTGAGAGATCCAGCTGACCAAGAGAGGTTTGCAAAGACTTATCAATGAAAGAAGAAAGTAACGAAAAACCTTTAATGTTGTTTTGTGATAGTCCCCCCCCCAGTTGTCCTTGAACGAAACCGTTGAGTTAAACAAAAAAAAGAAACTAATAGTTATATTAATAAAAGTTGTTTATTTGATACTCCTGTGTTGGCATTTCAATTGCTGGAAGAGGAACTGCCTAAGATTATAGACGAACCTCATCACACTTTTTGATTTGCCAATATCATGATGAGAGCCACTTCATGACATGAAACGCTTCCTTGGCTCCATAGAAATTTGAGTGAGATATCTCCAGGATCTGTTTTAGGACTGGTGCTTTCCATTTGCACATCCCTGGCCTGGAGTTAAGGGTGAGTAGTGGAGTGGCCATATTTGCTGATGGCAGTGATTTATGTAGCAGAGTAATAACAAAAAGACATTGAAAAGAACCCCCCAAAGGACATCTTACCCAATTGGGGGGGGGGAAGGAGTAGTAGTAAAGTAGCAAAAGAGAGTCTGTGTAACCAAGTGTCAAGTGGGCAGAAATCCCAATTTCACACACACTCTAAGGACATAGGAACTGGCAGTAAAGGACAAGAAAAAGGTCTTGAGGTTGATGTAGAAGGCACCATGAAAAATGTCAATTCTATGTGCAGCTGCCATAAAACCCAACAAATTTCAATATCATACTGCCCTTACAAAAAAATCCATAATGCAACCTCCTCTGGAAAATGCAGGAGAGTTTGGGCCACTACATCTAAAAAAAGGGAGTCTTATCCAACTCAAGAAGGTGCAGAAAAGGGCAAACTTTTTGAATTTTGGTGCTGTTTTGTTTTCATTAAAGGTAACTCTTCTGAAAACCCTGACCAAAGAGAAATATACCTTCAACTGCGGCCGTTGGCTGGATGTGAACGAGGATGACCGTGAGATTGTGCGGGAACTCACAGCCGAAGGCCCGATGGTGACTGAAGTTCTACCAGGTGAGAAAAAAAGAGAAATGCGTAAGGGCATTAGCAATTAATTCATTTTGTTTAAGGACCACCCTAGAGAGATCCCAATGGGCTGAGTTTGCAAGTGCTAGTAGAATGAATTGCTCTGTTTTGTTTTGTTTTTTAAAAAAACAGAGTACAGTATTCTGGAGATATTTCATGGCTTGTGCAGGATTATAGGAAATGTTAATGGGTTGGCAGGTAATGTCATGAGAATGGCTGATGATCAGATTCCAAAAAGATCCCACATGGAGATCTCCTTGTATTGCAGCCGTGGTCTCCCTCTGGGGTGATTTCCCTGCACTAATTCTCCATCCAGGAGATCTTTTGGAATCCAACCACAAGCCATTCTGAAAGCCTTAGGAATGGACTTCAACAGATGGGGAACATTGACATCTGAGTGTTCAGCCTGGAGGCAGGCTGTCCCATCATAGGTAAAGGTAAAGGTTCCCCTTGACATTTAGTCCAGTCGTGTTCGGCTCTAGGGGGTGGTGCTCATCCCTGTTTCCAAGCCATAGAGCCAGCGTTTGTCAGAAGACAATCTTCCATGGTCACATGGCCAATGCGACTTAGACCACCAGGGTGGTCCCTATTTATCTACTCACATTTGCATGCTTTCGAACCGCTAGGTTGGCAGGAGCTGGGACAAGTGATGGGAGCTCACTCCGTCAGGTAGATTTGATCTTACAGCTGAAGATCTCCAGACCTTACAGCACAGAGGCTTCTGTGGTTTAACCCGCAGCGCTACCATGTCCCACCATGCCTCTCCCATCATAGCCTCTCCCAATTTAAACAGACTCTTGTCCAGCAGGCCGAGGCAAAGAGGCTGTCCTGAAACCAGCAAAACCAGGAAGCTGGACAGGGGACCAATTGTATTTGTCTTCAGTGTGGAAGGGATTTTCACTCTCAAATTGGCTTTCTCAGCCACACTAGGTGCTGTTCCAAGACCTCTATTCGGAGCACATTACCATAGTCTCTCGAGACTGATGGATGCCTACTCTGGCGGATAACACAACTGATGGTTGGGCTATTTTCTTGCTCTTTTGAGTTGCTACAAGGAAAGCTAGGTGGGATGGAAACATGACAGGTCACCTGATCAGTGCATCCTCGTAGTTCATGCCAGTCTTTAATAAGAAAAAAAAAACTAAGGTCACGTCTTTTCCTTGCTTTCTTTCAGCAACTGTGTTTCTTAAGAAGACTTAACACTTAATTGACATAGTAGAGAGGGAGTCTGGGTGTCCAATGTTCCACCAATTCAAACAAAGAAAAGCTGTCTCACTGTTCTATTTGCTGTGGAATCTGTGCAACCTTGAAAACTGGAGCTTTCATTTAGCTTCTGAGATTTCTTCTGGCACAGCCCATAAGACATTTGACATATCTCTAAACATGAGAAACTTGTTTTGCATTCAAAAGCCAGATTCTTGATGGGATCCCTGTTAGAAACCAATTTCTACGTGTGTGCAGACTTTGGTCATGACCACCTGTGCAATACATTTATCCCAGTGGTTCCCAACCTTGGGCAGTCCAGCTGTTCTGGGATTGCAACTCCCAGAAACACCCAGCCAGCACAGCTGGTACTGAAGGCTTCTGGGAAATGCAGTCCAAGAAGACCTGGGTCACCCAAGGTTGGGAACCACTGATTTAGCCAGTGACTGGGACTCATCTTTGTGCCTATCCATGCTGTCCACCACCATAATGGTCCAGCCTAGAGACCACTACAATTCTATCCAGACTCCTATTGCTTACCTGCTGTCTTGCTCCAGATGTTTACTGTCCTTCCCCAGGTATTCTACTCAGAACACACCTGCAGCTCCTTTGATCCTTATTTGTATGTAGAGATATACCAACATGATATGAGACACAGGCTTTGCCAAGCACATCTTAGCATTTCATAGAAATAATGCTGGCCTGATGAAGAATGTGGACATCACATTGATCTGCATTGTAGATATGGTACTGCTAGTGCTATTAGGCATCCTTTAGTCTTGAGAGACTATGGTAACGTGCTCTGTATGGAGGACTTGGAACAGCGTCTAGTGTGGCTGAGAAGGCCAATTCGAGAGTGTCCATCCCTTCCACACTGAAGACAAATACAATCTGTCCCCTGTCCAGCTCCCTGGTTTTGCTGCTTTCGGGACTGCCCCTTTGCCTCGGCCTGCTGGATAAGGGTCTCTTCAAATTGGGAGAGGCCATGATGCACCATCTGCCTCCAGGCTCAACCAATGCTCAGACGTCACAGTTTCCCATCTGTTGAGGTCCATTCCTAAGGACTTCAGATCCTGCTTGCAGATATCCTTGTATCACAGCTGTGGTCTCCCTCTGGGGCAATTCCCCTGCATTAATTTTCCATACAGGAGATCTTTTGGAATCCGACCATCAGCCATTCTCACAACATGCCTGAGCCAACGTAGACGTTGCTGTTTCAGTAATGTATACATACTAAAAATTCCAGCTCATTCTAGGACTACTCTATCTACTCTATTTGGAACTTTGTCCTGCCAGGTGATACCAAAAATGTGTCAGAGACAATGTGTATGGAACTGCAACTGCTACAGCTATAAATGAGAGAGATTGTGTGTGTGTGTGTGTGTGTGTGTGTGTGTGTGTGTGTGTGAG